CAAGAAAACCAATGCTAGAAGAGACTCTTTAAGGGAAGTAGCATAGTGGTTGTGGTCATTACCTGGATTTAAAAAATGAAAGGCTTAGGATTTTAAAATACAGAAAAATAGCTATAGAAAGTTAATAGAACCATCTTGAACATTCATTTGGTGTGATATAAGGGCCCCTTGAGCTTGACATAAAAGATGAATAAATGAAATTCGCCGATATACTGTGCTTAGTGGTGGTGCTTCGTCTTTTCTGAAGATATACACCTGAAAGTGTGCAAAGTTTTCGCTCGGAGTTTTGGTTAAATCCGATTTATACGGAAGGAAAACAGAATGATGGGATAAAAAGGATGTAAATATTGCCTACCTGAGTGGCTTCATCAAGCGCTGTTGCTTAATTGACCTGAGGTGCCTACCTCCTCCGGACACCGACCCTCCGGCCATTCCATGGCTGACCTGACTGGGAAACCAGGCGGCGGGCGACACTCCAAATTCACCTCCCAGCCGCAGTTGCCAGGATTGATCGAACCAGGAGAGCGGTGGCGAGACTAGAGCCCTCGGCTTGCGAAGGTCAGCCAGACAGCCGATGCTTCGGCTAGTTGACAAGAGATGGACTTGCGGAGAGCCGGGATCAGCATTAATAGCTGGGTCTGAGATTAAGGTATCGAGTCCCGTCGTACCGTACAGACTGACGCCCAGACGAGAGTCTGGCCGAGAGCGAGGCAAGTCGCCGTCTCTAGCCCCAGCTGAACTCCATTCAGGGGCTTTGAGCTCTTGTTGGGGACCGAAACTGCCAGTTTCGATAGTGGAAGTAATTGCTGCTGTGTCGTTCACTGGCGGACCACCAGTACACTCATCTTCGGGACTGAAATGGTCCATCCCAAGCAGGGACTGACTAGGCTGGCCGAGCATAGGCATGGTGGAGGAGCAGTGTTGACGTTCAATCAGGTCGCGTACTGATGCTGCGCGAGTGGTCTGTTTAGGAGGGTCGAAAATGCAGACGAAAACATCCCAAACAATGGTTTACTCGAACACTCTTATGAGTGTGCATGCGATGTTTCTGGAGCAGGTAGTTGCATAGAAGGCAATGCAGTTAAGAAGGTACCTGATTTTTCGATTCCATTTCAGTGCCGTATTCAAGTTAAAAATCCATTAAAATCTAGTACGGAGCGCGGTTATCACCTTAGAAAAACCCAGTTTCGAATCTCGTTTAGGGTAGATAATATCCGTTCACTTTATTTCGGTTAAGGTGAAGACTAGTAGTTGAATTTTCCCACTATGAAATGAGTATAATTCATAGTTCCATTAAATCTCACATAGTCTCGCTTCCCAAAACGCATTATATCCCAGACTGCACTGTAATTTCGACCTCGTATAGGTATCATCCGACCCCCCAGCGAGATTCGAGCCCGGAGAATTTAGCATATGATCTCGACATGTTAGCCACTGCGCCAAGTCTATGTGAAATTAAATAGAGGTATACACATATCATTGTATGAAAATTCAACTATTAGTCCTTTATACTCTTTAACGAAATAGTGTGAATGCGTATAACATATATTATTTGCTGCTTATCTAAAAACCTTTTAATAATGAGAAAACCCGTTTAGGGTATTGGTGAGGTTACGGTGAGGTCGAAACTGCGATACACCCTGGATGAGAGAAGACTTTGTGAAGAAAGGCTTAGTGAAATTCAAAGACATTGTGAAGCCTACTTATACAATTGTAGAAAATCCTCCACTATTAGTCCTTAGATCACCTTAAGCTAAGTAAATTTGTAGTCAAGACTTACTGATAATCTCGAAACCCAGTTATGCTTTAGTCATCCTAGGTTGTGTAAGATAACTATGAACTGATAGCGGAGTCTTTCCACGTCGAAATGGGTAGACTTCGTGTTACTAGCCTTGTCTCCAAAAAGCGTTTTATCCAGCGACTCCGATGAACCTGTGCTAAGCTTTCATCTCTACTGTGGCCGACATCATCAGAGGGAGAACGGATAATTTACGAAATAGAATAAAAATACACTAAACCAAGAGAACAGTTGACCGGTTGCAACGCTAGTCACTTTTTATACACCTATGCTTGCGGTATTAATGAGGCATCCCATAATTTGGTTGGCTACCTCAAGCTTACTCTACATGAAGTGAGCTGACCTCGTTTTTAGCAACATAGTCGTGTTGCCAGGGTTACTTACTTGGACTCACCTTGTCAAAAGTCCTCTGCTATAGTAGTTATCATAATTCCAAGCGTCGGACCGTAAACTTAGTACATTCCCAGACGTTTCGCCGGCATCGTAGTTGGCATAGTCAATGAGCCTTGCTTTTCTCAGCACCAAGCTACAACTCATTATGGAGACAAGTGAAGTCAATCTTTGACCAACTTCCTGCTGAAACAGTTGTGCTATCTCTCCTTCTTCTGCGACCATACCAAAAGCCACACCATCTTGGCCTTCATATCTTCGATTACTCTACATGCTTGCAGATAAGTGA